TGAATCCGCCAGCTGCTCCGTGGGAGAAAGACCTGGCGATCTGTTCCCATAAAGGTTACAGCCTAGGAAATGGACTCAACGGCTCACAACAACAACAGTATTAAGAGCACTCCTCTATTTGAATCAAAATTATGATTAATATGTGTACTGAAACCCATTGCTATCAAGTCAGTTCCAACTCATAGTGACCTTATAGGGATATATACCTATAGGTATAGGTAGAACTGCCCTGTAGGGTTTCCAAGGAGTGGCTGGTGGATTTGAACTGCTGACCTTTTGGTTAGCAGCCAAATATGTGTATTAGCTGTGAAAAAAATAGTTCCATTTATATACCTAGCAATGTTCTAGATTGTCAGTTGTCTGTGTCACGAGCTGTATGTATCTCATAAAACTTTGCAAATCCCTTTTCAGAGAATCTGATTAAATCTCTTAAGTGCTCTCAAGTCCAGTCACTGCTATGTGACTAGTGTCCAAATGCCTGTAAATGTTAAGATTACCCTTTAAAAAAAGATCTACCATTGAAAGATTCTTGAGGATAAAGTAAATTTAGCATGTGGTATGAGATGGATCATGGATAAGAGTGAAAGGAACTATTTTCTGCCTGGTTTTATGCTTTATTTGAGAAATAGGAAACAAGTTTTACTTGTGTTTTTACAAGTATTTGTGTATGCTACAGTTACATAACTTCTTTGAATATTGAAGAATATTGGTTTTTCCTCTAAAAATTCAAAGCCTTGCCTCTTTCAGTTATCTTTCCCAATTTAGTTCATTTTTCAAGTTCTCTAAAATAAATATCATTTCACTTCAATTGAGATCTTTAAATCAAAGTGAGTGTCATTAAGCTTTCTTGTTGAAGTAGGTATAATTTAATAGGCAAAGATTTGTTTTTTAGCAATTTAGACTTCTTTTTAACTTGTAAAGAAACCTCAATTTACTGCAGTGTGCTCTTTGTTTTAAAATACAGGTTCTTAAGTGTGAGCCTCAGTTTTTTTAAATCAAATTTGTCAGATAACTTGAATGCAACAGAGTCATTAAATTGTCCTTGGTAATTCTAATTGAAAATATTTCATGCAAATATCTTGCCCTGTGAGGCTAGAAATTACCCTTGAGTTGTAGTTGATTTCAAAACACAATGTGGGTTTGTTGAACTTTATATACCACTTATCCTGTTTTAGTTTTAAATTTAAAACTTCTTTACAATGGAAAGCGTATCTTAGGAAGCATATTTGATACTTGTCGTGTCAGATCTTTTTTCTACTTGCTTTTTTTTTTTATCAGCGTGAAAATGAACATGCATAATACAGAAAAATCTTTACAGGTATATTTCTACATATTTTTGTTTGTATTATTTGGAGCTTAATATGTATTTCCAGGATCTTTTTATTTATTATTTGAAATGAAATATATTAAATAGAAATCAGTTTCTTAACCTTGTGACTTTGTATTTCATTTTGAAAATGTTGATGTGTTGAGGTGTATAATCGAATACCATAGAAACAAAATGGAGATTAGAGAGCGATGAATTGATAACTAGGTATTTTTGTAGTAAGATTTTAAAATCAGTTACTGTTGTCCTTATAAAAGTCTAATACAGTCACTCAGCTGTTAAAAACCTAATCCTCTATTTAAAGAAAATATACAAAAACAAATTGTCTATCTTTCTGCCTGATCTCTTCTCAAGTACTAACACAATGGAAACAGTGGGTGATCTGTCAATGTGTTTGGTTTGTCAATGATGCTTTTGTATAAATATTGGGAGGGTAAGAAATAAAATTCACACAGTAAAATATGATTTCATCTGCCTTTTCTCTGCAGCTCCATGGCTCATGCTGCGGTGTGAAATTCTCATTTTACACACTTTGCAGGTGGAGCACATGAATTATGCATTGAGCAAGAAAAATCTCCTGCCTCAAGTCCTATATGCATTTACCCAGGTTCTGTCTCTATTACCAAGATGAATTGCAAATGGAGAAATGTTTGATAGAATAGAGCTCTTAACTTCTTTGTTTAGAATTCAGATTTTTATTTTTATAGTAGATCCTTTAAGTATGAAAATGTTTTGAACTTACTATGGATTTTTTAAAATGAAATATGAGAGGAATGCAAAACACATCACAGAGCTTTTTATAGCCTTGATTCAGAATGCAAGGCTTTTTCAATTCTGTAGAAATGACCATTATCTACTGCTAATGTTGTATTTCAGTCACTGGTTATTTGCTGTTCCTAAAAAGTCCATGAAATTCTGTCCTTTTGAGAGCCTTTTTTTCTTTCTGCTTTAGGCTTCTAATAAGAGATTATGCCAATTTCACATGCAGCTCTGTTCCTGTGTTGTATGTGATCTGATGTGTATTTAATAGATATTGTTACACACTCTTAGCTGTGAAGTAGAAAATAAGGTATAGTCTTGCCTCCAGCTTCAACTTTATCTTGATTTGATAGGTTTCTCATTTTTCAGGTGGGGAAGTTACAGTTCCATGAAGACAGTTATGCACCATTGTAGCTTATAGGAAGCTACACCCATTGTGTTCGGCGTAGCATTTTGATAAGTCACATGGTGATAAGCTCCTTTTGCTATATATTCTTTCTTCACAGGAATGATATTCTAGTTGAAATGGCATTTTCAATTCTCAACCTATGTTTTAAGTTACTTGCAGCTTTTAAATTTCAGCCCCCAAACTTAGCATTTAAAAAATTTTTTTCCCAGTCCGAGGAGGAGTGTGCTGTCACAGTATGGGGAGAGCAATTAGGGTCACATAACAATGTATGTATAAATTTTGTATGGGAGACTAAATTGAAATTTAAACTACAACAATAAGCAAAAAATATATAAAATGAAATTTTTCCCCAGTCCTAAAAATTGTTACTCATTTCAGAGGGTAAAGAGAGGTAAATATTGTTGATTTTGTTTTTAAATAAGGAATGAAAATAAAATCCCATCTAGATGATTCAGAGTTTTCAGTGGCAGAAATAAGTATTTTAAGCAAGAAAAATTAATGCTGGTGATATCAATATAACTGGTGAACATCCTTTAGTTACGTTTAACTTAAACTGCTGTATGACTCTTGAAAATAATTTTTCTAGATATTGGCATGAGGAAAAAAACAGGAATGATTTTAAAATTTTACATAGCATATAATTTGTTGTAATGCTCTTGTTCATGTGTGTGCACTATTGTGAGAGCTCAAACACTGTGTATGTATACTTTAAATGGTATTAGTACACATTTTGCTTCAGTGATATCTATCGGTAGTTAAAGGACTACTTCAAAAATGTTTATAATAATTCATAGTAACAATAATCTATAAAGTCCTGTGGTAGATTATAAGTTATTTGAAGCAGAGACTATGCCTGCCTTGATGGTTACCTCCATTGCTTAGCACAGAATCTGACACATAGTAAAAATTTAGTACGTATCTGTTGGATGATTGAATGAATAAACAAACAAACTTTTAGTGAAAACTTAAGTTTTGGCCTTTAATTTGGAAGATTTAATGTAAAAAAAAAAGTATTCATTATAAAAATAAGTAATCTTGACCCAAATATGTCTGTTTATTGTCTTGAGTTGTTTATAATGCTACTCAGTACTGCACTTAATTTATATTTTTTAAAAATGATTTTATTTGGTAAGTGCCATCTGGGGTCATAAAGCTAGCGAGTGGCCATCTAAGATGCATCAGTTGGTCCCAACCCACCTGGAGCAAGGGAGAATGAGAAACACCGAAGACACAAGGAAAGTATTAGCCCAAGAGACAGAAAGGGCCACATAAACCAGAGACTGCATCAGCCTGAGACCAGAAGAACTAGATGGTGCCTGGCTACCACCAGTGACCACCCTGACAGGGAACACAACAGAGAGTCCCTGACACAGCAGGAGAAAAGTGGGGTGCAGAACTCAAATTCTAGTGAAAAGAACAGACTTAGTGGTCTGACGGAGACTGGAAGGAAGACATGGCCCCCAGATTCTCTGTTAGCCCAAAACTAAAACCATTCCCGAAGCCAACTCTTTGGACAAAAACAAGACTGGACTATGGGACATAAAATGATAACATGAGACTAAATGGGCAGCTCCTGTCCAGAGGTGAGATGAGAAGGCAGAAAGGGTCAGGAGCAGGTTGAATGGACACAGGATATCCGAAGTGGAAAGGAGGAATGTGCTGTCACAGTATAGCGAGAGCAACTAGGGTCACATAACAATGTGTGTATAAATTTTTGTGTGAGAAACTAACTTGTATTGTAAACTTTCACTTAAAGCATAATTAAAATAAAAAAAGATTTTAAAATCTTCTTTTGAATCTCTAAACTGTGAACACCTCAGTAAGTTTAAGGGCATTGTTTTCTAGCCCATGGTTATGCATGTTTTGTAAATATAGTAAACTGAAAACAGTAGAGAAAGTGAATCTTTTTTAACCCTAAAGAGGAGGAGCCTGAAAATGTCATATATAGATTTTAGTGAATACCTTTGGCAAAAGAAGTCTGACACAACCCAGTGTTGAAATATAAAGTACCTAGTACAATGCTTGTCACAAAGTTAAGCCTCAGAAAAGGCTAATCTATCACAAGCCATCGACACCTTCAGAGCTAAGCATATATTGCTTGAGCTTTTCTTTTTCTTAAGTCAGCTTGTTTAAAAATTATTTTCAAGAATGTCTGTATACCTGCTAGCAGAGAACCACATTTTTCTGTTAGCAAAACCTTGTCAGATTATAAAATAATTATTATTTATGTCTATATTTTAAATTTTATTTTCTCCTGAAGGTTCTTTATAATCTTTAAGCACAAAATATTTAAAAATTTGCATGATGAATTTGGAAGAAATGTTGTTTATTATTTGAAATAATAGTTTTCTTTCAAAAAAACATTTCATGTAGCGATGCAGAAACTTTGATTTTTTTTTTAGAAAACTAAGCAGCGAGACAAATGTCTGTTTTGGAACATTAAGGACTACTTTATAGATTTTAAAAGTAAAACACTCAATAAGTGAAATATTTGTTATTTTATAGGAGAAAGAAAAAACAAGACAAGATAGAAATCCTGTTACCAAAGATGTTTCACTTCTAGATCTAGATGATTGTAAGTATAATTTTTTATTTTTTATCTGTTAGGAAGCGTATTTTTTTATTTTTATATTACCTTTTATTTGCATATCTCAAAATAAAATATCAACATCTCTTGTGAAAGATTTATACAAGAATAAGGCAAGAAAATTTTGGAAATCAATTCTATTAGTATCTTTTTCTTTCATCTATTCGGCATCAGTTTTGTATCACACAGATAACATAAATAAATGTAGATGGTAAAGTAAAACTGCACCAAATTCATTTAAAGATCTCTTGCTTTAGTAATTTAAAATAATTATCTCACAACTTTTTCATTGGTAAATGTTGATTAAGGGGATTGACACATCCAACTTAGGGAGGTGGGGAACTGGGAAAGTAAATGGAAATGTAAAGGACATCACCATCCTCTACTTGCCACACTTTTGGTAGGAATGGAAATCAGTACAAAGCTTTTGGAGGCCAGTTTGACTATACCTATCAGTATTTTAACTGCAAAAAACCCTTGCCCCAGCAAATCTACTTCTAAGAATCTAGAATCCTGCAAATATACTCACGTAAGCATGTAAAGGTGGATATTCGCTACCTCCCCTTTAATCTTCCTGCATCGTGAGAGAGACAGAGAGTGGCTCACTTCATTGTTAGTAAATTTTGCACTAGGAGAATAACAACAACAAATAAGATTCTGTGAATATTAAACTATTGTCATGTTTCAATGTAATTTATCCATGTTGAGGTGACTTGTGTTTTTTAGGTTGTCTCCTTTTGTCTCAGAACTATCCTGTTTATATTGTATATCTAACCTGCCTCAAATAATCAAGGCAAATCATTCATATAGATAAAATATATAGAGAAATTTAAAATAAATTGGAGCCAAATTTGAATCATTTTTCACCAATTAGCAAAGATTTTAACGTTGGAATCGAGCGTGTAGGACAGAGTAGAACTGCCCATAGGGTTTCCAAAGAGCAGCTGGTGGATTCCAACTGCCAACCTTTTGGTAAGCAGCTGAGCTCTTAACCACTATTCCACCAGGGCTCCATTTTAGCAGTATCTATCAAAAATTAAATTGCATGTACCTTTTTCTAGGAATTTATTCTGCAGATAAACTAGCAAAATTAGATCTTAATTCTTCCTTGCTTTAAACCCTTTAATTTAACTTTGCCCTTAGGTTAAAGTCTGTACTCTTTCCTAGATTTCTCAGACCTTAGGTCTGACACCTACCTGCTGTCGACATTTCATACAGTCTGCTCCCTTGCATTTCTCAAACATACTGGGCACATTCCTGCCCAGGGCCTCTGTACTGCTATTCCCCCTGCTGAGAACACTTTCCCCCAGATCTTCTAATGGCTGGCTGCTTCTTTTAGTCCCAGCTCAGAAGTCACATACTCTTACACACCTTACCTAATCACTCTTGTTTTTGTGAAATTTATTGTTATGTGAAATTATCTTAAGTATTTTCATTACATTATTGTCTGTCATGCCCAAATAGGATGTACATTCCATGAGAATAGAATCTTTATCTATCTTGCTTACTACCTAGAATGATACCTAGTGGGCACTCAGTAAATATTCGTTAAATTAAAAAAATATGAAAAGGTAGATAAAGAATTTTATTGAAGCATTGTTTGTTGTAGCAAAATCCTGAAAACAAACAAAATGTCCACCAATAGAGTAATGCAGCCATTAACAAAAATGAGGCAAATCTATATGTGCTAATCATATAATTATGTATCCAAATTATTGTAAGAACAAAAAAAGATAGTGTATAGCAAGATTCCACTTACATAAAAAAAGAATAAAAAAGGAAATACATCCTATGCGCATACGCAAACATGACTATATATACATATATTTCTAAAGGCCGCAGAAGAAACAACAATGGTTAGTTAGCTCTGGACTGTTTGAAAAAATAGAACTAAACTGGGAACAGCAAAGGGAGTAAAACTTTCATTTTATATTTTATATCATTCTGTGGCATTTGAATATTTTACATGTATATGGATTACTTAATTTTCTCCTTCTATTTGGCTCCAGATTTCCTGGAAGCTAAGGCAAAAAAGTAAAAAGAAACTTGTGAAAGGATATAAATTTTATTGTTTGATTGTTTTTAAAAGCATGAATTTGTATGTACAGACAAAAGTTTTCTTAGAAGTTTTTTTTTAATCTAAATGTAAGACTTTTTTTAATTTTAACGGAAATTTTATCTTGATTTACATTTTTTAACTCAATAGAATATATTTCTGTTTATGTTTAATCCGAAGTACTTTTTTTTAAATATCTTACAGTCCTGCATTTGTCAGAAATGAAACGTAAAACTTTCTTGTTAACTTCAATTCAGCAAATGTTAGTGAATTGTCTGCTAAGTACAAGGTTCTTTGCTAGGTGCTGTAATAGATAATAGAATTTAGTCATTTTCTTCCAGAGACTAAAATCCAATCAGAGACACAGATACTTGAACAAGTAACTATTCTATAAAAGATACAATAGAAGTGCAAAGATTAGTTAAATACAAGGAGAGAAGTGGAAAACCAATTGAAGAGCTATGAAGGCCTTGAAGAGGTGAATCTGAGATAAGAATAAAGACAAATGGAGTGTTACGGGAGAAAAACATTGTTCATAAAGGTTCTTAAAATGCTAACTTTATTATATGCTACTTTATAGCCTGCAGTAGCTCTCCATGGCAAAAATTAAGTTAATTTTGGAAGAAAAAGGCAGATACAGCCCTTACGTTTTATCTAAGCGGAACATCATAATCTACAAAGGTTATTTATCCATTTCTTCTTTCAGAAAACATACCCATTTCTTCATTCAGAAAACATTTATTGAATACTTGCTATGATCTGCATAATCTGCTACATGCTGGGCATTCTAAATAAATACATTATCCCTACCCAAGGAACTCAAAGTGTAATGGAAGAAACAGATAAGTCAGTCATTAGATTGCCACATTATGAATGATGTGAGAGGTATGTATAGAATGCTGTTAGATATTGGGGTACCTCTCCTGCCTAGCAGAATCAACGTATAATGTTTGAACAAGTGTCCGTACGAATTAGCCAGACAGTTGGAGGCAAGAGGAGAAAGTAAGGGGAGGATGGCATACCAGGCAAAGCAAAAGTATGGCGGAGAGAAAGAACTTGCTACTACCAGAAATAGTCATTGTCTCTCTCTCTCTAAGGAAGCAGTGTAGGTAGTAACTCTAGAAATAGACTAAGTCTGGCCCTACTACAGAACAGTTGTGTGATCTTGAATAAGTATTGATTCTTCCTTATTGCATCTGTTGAGGGGATGATGTCAGCATAGGCATTGGTCCTCATTTTCCTTCTATCAGTTACTTGAGTAAATTTCTTTGTGTCTCATTTTATTCATTTGTAAAATTAAAAGTAAGTGGCTGAAAAGCTTCTATAGTTTAGATTATGAAATTACTCAATTTCTATTTCATAGGGGTCAGTTGAGAATATACTTGGCTCAGGATAATATATGGCCTAGCAATAGATTCTACCACGTATCTGTCAGTTTTTCATACTGTGGTTGCTTGCATATTGCTGTGATGCTAGAAGCTATGCTACCCGTATTTCAAACACCACCAGGGTCACCTATGGTGGACAGGGTTTAGCAGAGCTTCCAGACTAAGACATACTAGGAAGGACAGGACCTGGTGATCGACTTCTGAAAAAAGTGGCCAGTGAAATCCTTATGAATAGCAGCAGAACATTGCCTGATATAGTGCCGGAAGATGAGCCCTTCAGGTTAGAAGACACTCAAAGTATGACTGAGTAAGAGCTGCCTCCTCAGAGTTGACCTTAATGACGTGAATGAAGCTAAGCTTTCGGGACCTTCATTTGCTGATGTGGCATGACTCAAAATGAGCAGAAACAGCTGCAAATATCCATTAATAATCAGAATGTGGAATGTACAAAGTATGAAGTTAGGAAAATTGGAAGCTGTCAAAATGAAATGGAACTAGGTCTCTAAAGCTTGTGAGTGGCCATCTAAGATACATCTATTGGTACCATCCCATCCGGAGGAAAAGAGAATGAAGAAAACCAAAGACACAAGGAAAATATTAGCCAAAAGGACTTAAGGACCACATGCACCAGAGACTCCAGCAGCCTGAGACCAGAAGAACCAGATGGTGCCCAGCTACAACCAACGACTGCTCTAACAGGGATCACAACAGAGAGTCCCAGATAGAGTGGGAGAAAAATGTAGAACAGAATTCACGTAACACATGAGAGGAACGTGCTTCTTAGTTCAGTCAAATATACACGACCAAATGGGCAACTCGTGTCCAAAAGTAAGGTGAGAAGGCAGGAAGGGACAGCAACTGGACGAATGGGCACAGAGAACCTAGGGTGGAAAGGGGAGCATGTTGTCACATTGTGGGGGTTTGTAACCAGTGTCACAAAACAATATGTGTATAAATTTCTGAATGAAAAATTAACTTGAGCTGTAAATTTTCACCTAAAGCCCAATCAAAAATTAAATGGAGCACATAAAGATCGATATCCTAGGCATTAGTGAGCTGAAGTGAACTGGCATTGACCATTTTGAATCGGATGATCATATGGTCGTCTATGAGGGAATGACAAATTGAAGATAAATTGAGTTGCATTCATCGTCAAAAAGAACATGTCAAGGTCAGTCCTGAAATACAAAGCTGTCAGTGACAGGATAATATCCATACACCTACAAGGAAGACCAGTTAATACGACTGTTATTCAAATTTACACACCAACCACTAATGCCAAAGATAAAGATTTTTACCAACTTTTGTAGGCTGAAATTGATCAGACGTGCAGTCAACATGCATTGATAATTACTGGTGATTGGAATTCGAAAGTTGGAAATGAAGAAGGATCAACAGTTGGAAAATATGGCCTTGGTGAAAGGAACGATGCCAGAGATGGCTTGATAGAATTTTGCAAGACCAATGACTTCTTCATCGCAAATACCTTTTTTCAGCAACATAAATGGCGACTACCTATGGGACCTTGTCAGATGGATACACAA